ATTCTACGCAACATTTTTTTTCCCGGAATTTTTTTTTTTTTTTTTTTTTTTTGCGCTGGGGCTGCCTGGGAGTCATGCCCGGCCGGGCACCCGGCTGTGTATCTGGGCACAAGCTGGGTGCCCGGGTGCCCGGGAAAACAGCCTAGATAATTTGATTTTTTTTAATTTAAAAAAATAAAAAATGATAACTTTGCATGTGGGAAAACCTACTTAACAAGGTGATAAGAGCAGCCCCGGTAAGTAGGCCCCTGCGGCGAAGGCTCCATCTATTGGTGGGGAACTGCACCTGCTGGAAATCGGGTCCAGCATCCCTATACAAGATATGATGTGTATCAGCTGGAAATCGGATCCAGCGTCCCTATTCAGTGATATGAGGAAATATCATGGTGATGTGTATGAGCTGGAATTCGGGACCAGCCTCCCTATTATGTGTTAGCACCTACATCTCAGAAAAGAGCCGAGGCATTGATTATTTCCCTGCGCAAGGGTAGGATTGACCTCCAGCTCTAATGTACTCTAATTACCTTGTAGGTGACGTGGCACAATTCCCTACCTCCAAGTGTAGCATGGTGTGCACGTGTACAAAAAAATGCACGTGAAAATGTTAAAAATAATAAAAATGTAAAAGCCATCTATCAAGGTAACAAACATATGTAAAATCAGGAGAGTCGAAAATTACTTCGGAAGACAGCAATCCTAGCGACCCCTCAACCATTACCCACCCCACCCACTATTATTAACACACCTGACAAATGCGCTGCAAGTATGGCTGCCCCACACTTCCAGCTAAGCAGAGTGCCCCATCCTCACACACACAAAAAGCAGCAGCAGGTTGCTCCACACTTCCAGCTATAAGTGAAGTGCCCCATCCACCAAAAAGAAAAATGAAAAAGAAAAGGAAGCAGGTTGTTCCACGCTTCCAGCTTTAAGTAGAGTGTCCAATCCACCAGGAAAAAAAAAAAAGAAAAAAAAAAAGAGTGCCCCATCCAATCATGCAGGGGGGGGAGTGAAAAGCGGAATGAGAGTTAGCGCCTGACCACACCACTCCCAGAGTGTGCAAAATGGACTATGTATCTTCCGGAAAAGCATAGAAAGATACACCCGCCATAGGTTTTGTCTTTTTCACATTCCGTGAGTGGTGTGGCGATGCCTTTACACAGAGATACGGGCTGGCAAACGGAATGAAGAACTGCCCCATCCGGCCATCGAGCAGCTGCTGAGATTTCACGGTTACCGTCTTGACCTGAATATAACGACCGATCATTATATTAGCTGCTGTATTTGGGGCAACATTCAGTCTAGAATCTTACCAGATACAGCGATAATGACAGGGTCACTTGGGGATGAACCAAAAGATGGGCTTCGACCATGTTAGAGGTGCAAAAAAAGGTAATGAAGCTACCTGGTCTGTTTTTTTCCTGTTGTCTTATGAGCAATTTTCGGTGTCAGTCTCAAGTTGTCTTTTTCTCTGATTTTCTTGGAGTTTGGACTAATCTTTCTTTTTTTGGTGCTAGCTTTGTGTACAAGTTTGTAGCTACCAAATTTTTATTTGTGTGTCAACTTTTGAAACCCCAGTCTATTCAGATGGCATGTTCAACTGGTCTAGTTCTCCAAGCGATCACAGTTTTTTTTTTGTGTGTGTGTGTGTTGGGCACACGTTGGAACCGAAGGGTGCATGACACCCGCTCCACAGATGATTTTCTAGTCGCAATCACTGGTCCATGGTCAGAAGCAGTGAAACTGAGATCTGAATTGGAATCGTTCCTAGCGACGAACTCCACTTCACAGCACACGTTGGAACCGAAGGATGCATGACACCCGCTCCACAGATGATCTTCTAGTAGCAATCACTGGTCCATGGTCAGAAGCAGTGAAACTGAGATCTGAATTGGAATCGTTCCTAGCGACGAACTCCACTTCACACTGAGTATGGACAAAACCCATATTACCCATGTGTCAGAAAGGAGTACCTCTCCTTGGGCACAACATCTTTCGAAGTATGTGGTGGCAACCTTACGCTATGTAAGCCGTTTGAACGCCATGAACGCGCGTTCGCATTCAAATTCGCGTTTGAATGCGGACTCGCGTTCACGTTCAAATTCGCGTTTGAACGCGAACTCACGTTCGCGTTCAATTTTGAATGGCATTCTTTTTTTTTCTTTTTTTTTTTCTTTCTTTTTTTTAAGCCCATCTATCCCAGTGGTGGTAAGAGAACGACTAGGATTGAGGATCTGATAGTCGGGTTGCTCCATCGATTGGTGGGGAGCGACACCTGCTGGAAACCAGGTCCTGCGTCTCTCTCTCTCTCTCTCTCTCTCTCTCTCTCTCTCTCTCTCTCTCTCTCTCTCTCTCTCTCCTTTTTTTTTTTTCCGTTTCGGGCCTGAGGAGGCCGACACAAACCCAGCCCCCCTCCACCCTCCCTGCAGGTCTGCACGGAATTGAACTTCGCGTGCACGCGCGTTCATTGAACGGAGTTCAATTCCATTCATTTTTTGAACGGAAAAGTTGCGTTCAATGAATGCGCGGTTTCATAGACCTCACGGATCGAAGAGCAGACGCTTCGTGTCTGAATCCCACAAAGGCGCGAAAGCACGTAAGAATTGAAGACCGATATGGACCTAACACACATGAAGCGCACTGCAGACACAATCTTAAATGAAAATGAAAAATATGAGAGCATACGGTGGAACTGCTGAACCGGTCAAATCTCTTTTCGAACTGGGCAGAGGACTCGGAGTACCTTTTCTCTGAACACACGTAGCCAGGCACGATTTCAAAGGTGTGGAGCACTGCAAAAAGGTCAAAGCACCCTACGAGGACGTAGCATGTACAATGTTTTTGGAAAAACTTGTCACAGTGATCTCTATTCATTACTACCCTGTCAAAATACACAAGCAGCCCCTTGTGAACCAAGAAAGAGACCAAACACGCCTGCTACGAAACTATTGAGTAGAGGTAAGACTACAATAAGTAAATGTGGTGACCCTCCCCACCAATAGATGGAGCAGCCCGTCAGGCAAAGCCTCAATCTTGGTGGTTCTCTTAACACCACTGGGATAGTGGCCTTGCACAAGGGCCTTCAATTTTTTTCTTTTTTTTAAATTAAAAAATTGTAAATGTGTAGTATTGTGTACACTTTTGATAACTCTAAGCTGTGCTGCTGTGCCCTAAATCCCACAAATCTTGGTCCTCTTCTGGTTCAGTGGGATTTAAAGGATCTCATCAGTCAACCAATCATGCTGCTCAAGCTAATGCTGAGAATGTAGCGCGTGCTGCTATTCCATTAGGAATTAAGTCAGTTGAAGTGTGAATCAAAGGTTTTGGTTATGGAAGCCCTGTGGCCTATTGTGGTCACGTAGATGATTTGAGATCCGGGTAATCTCACAAAATAACACTCATATATATTGAGCTCGTAATGATACTTCACAATTTTCCCAGCTAAAGAATAAGCATGTTCCTGTGCCATCATAGAAACATAATCTAATCAATCAAAATAAGGCAAAGCTTTGTAGATACGTAATGATGAGAGTTTGGAGTCTTTGGACTAACCTTCTTGCTTAATTTTGGTACTAGCTTTGTATGCACAAGTCTGTAGCTACTAAATTTTTATTTCTGTGTCTCATTTTGAAACACTAGGACTTTTCAGATGGCATGTTATTCGGTCTAGTTTTCCAATCGATCACATTTTTATTTTACTTTTTCTGCGTTGGGCAGGTTTTCGTCCGTAATAATGAGAGTGTGCGTTTCACCGGAAGAGCGATTGCACGTATTTTCCATGGGCTTTGGAGCCCTGCATTCCCGTCTTCAGAATGGTCGAAGAATCGGTTCTGGTAAGGGTGGTTCCACAGTTCTGTATTCAACCATCATTTCTTTTCTGGCTTTCCTTTGATAGGGCTGTGTTCTGTTTTTTCCTTTGATAGGACTGTGTTCTGGTTTTCTTCTTTTTTGTTTCTTCCTTTTTTCATTTTCTTTTCTGTTTTTTTTTTTTAATAATTGTTTTAAAGTTTTTTTGACTTTTTTTTTAAAATAGTGTAATGAACCCAGTCTGGCAGATACTCAGAAGTCGTCAAACATCAGTAGTCACATTATCTGTATCAAAGTCTCCAAATCGTGAAGTGATATCTCAAACAGTATCTCATTACCATCACAAGAAGAGAGTGGAGGGGGAATAGACAAAGGAGAGGATGAAAGACCACACAGTAATAATCCCTTCAGACCCCTCTCCTTCTCTGGGCTTCTTCCCTCTCCACGTCAACAATGATAATAAGTATATTCCTGATCACACACAATACTGCCACGTGGCACTTTATCTCGTGAAGACCATGTAGGCATAGCAGGTTCCAGTGACGACGTCAACCTCAGGTGCGTACCCGACCTCCTTCATCCACAGATCCAGAACTTCCTCCTCCTTGCAACCAGTCACCTCATGTAGACAGTGTTGACAATGCCACGTCAACCGTCGAGACAGGTGGCATATGCCACATCAGCAATGGAGACCAGTGGCAGCGCCTCATCAACATGCACTGTAAGCCAGAGGCAGCACCACATAAGCATGCGATGTAGACTAGAGGTAGCGCCACATCAGCATGCAATGTAGACCAGAAGTAGCGCCACATAAGCATGCAATGTAGACCAGAGGTAGCGCCACATCAGCATGCAATGTAGAGCAGAGGTAGCGCCACATCAGCATGCAATGTAGACCAGAGGTAGCACCACATCAGCATGCAATGTAGACCAGAGGTAGCTCCACATCAGCATGCAATGTAGACCAGAGGTAGCGCCACATCAGCATGCAATGTAGACCAGAGGTAGCACCACATCAGCATGCAATGTAGACCAGTAGCGCCACATCAGCATGCCACTTCAGCAAGCCTGGCGCACAATGCAGAAAGCGCCAGCATGCTGTCTCCACCCCGTGCCGTTGTCAAAGTCGAGCCAACGTCAAAGTAGCATAGCAAGACTGAATGCTCGACTCACTCGAGGCCAGCCTTAAGTAGCATTTCTCGAGGCTGTCTGGCCTAGGGTGCTTTCCCGACAGTCGTTCAGATTGACTCACAGCTGAGGGCCCGGATTGTGCAGTTGCAGACTTCTCCCTTGGACCTGATGTTGTCTGGGTACTTGCATACGAACAAGTGTGTGTGCTTGACCAGCGACCTGGGCTAGGTACCTTTGGATTTTGACTGTTGGGGTCTCAATAGTTGACCAAAGTCAACTGTCACACGTCCAGGCCCTGGGTCCTCGTATGGGGTCCTTTTTGCCCCCATTTTGGCCTGGTCTGAGGGCGGCCGAATTGGCCCTCAGTCTTTCCACGAGACATATGGCATGGGTTATTGCATTCCTTCCGGCCCCAATCGCAGAAAATACATTAATTCCCAATAACCCTCATTCATATGCAACAATAATATCAGGAGCAGTAGCTAGGAGTTCTTTCCTACTAAACCATCTGGCTTCAGATGGGGGTTGGGTCTTGAACTTTACCTTGTACTGCTTCTGAGGTCGTCCT